ATGCGTCATCGAAAGCTCATGTCCGCTCAGTAGGCTCGTGGATAAAGTTAGACAGCACCAATAGGCGAAGGCTCTCATTCATCAGACACCTCTTTAATAGAGCTAGGAAAAGTGGATTACACCCCGACCGGGATATTTACAGGATCGGACTGGGTATCAATAAGTCTGAGAAAAGAAGAGCTTAAAACTGGTCGTAAAGGAGACTCAGGGGCATCCTCGCTAGATTGCGGTTCACTTGGGCACCACGTGCATTTACCGGTGTTGGTACAGCGCTGACTTCATTGAACGATTAACTCTTTTAAGCCCTTCAAGGCCCCTGAAGTGGGGAGCACCCAAATAAAATATTTCCACCACAATGGCAAGGGATTGTGGAGGTTTTATGTCGCTGGCTCATTCCCATTTATGCGAGCTACGTCGACCGGTACTGTTTTTCGATTACTTGGACCACTGTAAAGGTAACGTTTATTCTGAAAACCATTTCTAACGGGTCCCCGAAGAATTTTATGCCAATCAACCTCTCTTCCGTCCAATTTAAGGCCATTGATAGACTGATTGACGTGTATCTAAGAAGTAGGATTCATGGGGTCAAAGGGTATATCTGTGTGGAATCTGCCTTGTACACAATTATCAAATTTATTGGAATTCCTTAATGAAAAAACTTAATAGCTGGCGCTTTCCTTGATATCGAGGACTCTTAATAACGTGCTACTCGTGGCAATAGTAGACCTCTGACTAAGCTCGGAATCGAGAACAACTTACTAGGTTAGGATTAACTTCCACATGCTATAGGACAGAAATGTTTTAGCGAGTCGGGTAGCGCCTCTGTGAGTAGAAACACCACGCAGGCCGCAGGGAGACTTACCCTTTCCCTAGATCATCATGGCAAGCGACGTCCTGGAGGAGCAGGAAAGAACGGGATTTCGGATTATTACACTGACGACGTGGCATTTATCATTAGCTGACAGCTTCTGAACACTCTGTATAATCCTGGTCAAGGCTACCTAAAGCTGTCTTTACTTGAGCCGATTTTTTGACAGGCGATATTCGCTTGCAAAAGTTCACTTGCTGTCTACTTTGAGGCAAGCAAATTTTGAATGACCGATTTTTCTTGAACAATGTTGAATCGTCTAGAAATTCGCTTCATGTTAATGCAGCTTAAGCTTAGCCATAAATTAGTCTGCTATCTGAGAGCCTGCTTAAATACTGAAAAGACAGAGCTCGTCATTTGCTCACCAGGAAATATAAAGTACCTTGATAGGTGACATTTCACTTGTGCTTCCTGAAAGGGTTCAGTTTTTTGACGCGATATTTGACAGAAAGCTATCTTGGAAGCCAAATATTGGGAGTCTTGTAAAAATGGCATTAGTTTCTCTACATAAATTGCTGTAGAAGCACTATAAGGAATAGATGAGACCTTTTGGTAACTTGAAGCCATAATCAGGCCTATTGTGTTATAAGAGTTTATTGTTTGGTGAAAATCTCTAGAAAGCTCTACTCTAGTTAAGAAGCTAGAGAGCGTGTGCAAGAACCGCCCTTATTGGAATCAGGGGATTAAGTTAGGTCTGCCTGATTTCTGCACCATCTACTCTGAGAGCCAGTGTCTATCTGGGCCTTAGGATGGCTCATGGTAAGCTCTAAAATGGCCAGAGAGTACCTGATCTCCGGTCCATCGCCTTCTATTACTTTCAAATCAAACTGATGTGGTTGCCACAGCACAAGGACTTTTACAGAAAATTCTATGGCTGATGAATTATCTAAATAGGGTGGCCTTGAGATCATCACTCTTGAAAGGTAGGGCTTAGGAGTTCATGTGGCAACTTGTGAAATACTCTTGGTCACCTGAGCTCACAGTCGGAACAGCGAGCGGTGGGCAAAAATCCAGTCATGCAAAATTGCAAAGACCTTCTGGTTAGTACTGAACCGCTGGCGGTCAACGGCACTTCTTCAGCTGACTAAGCGCCAACTCTCGATTCTGGCAGGTATTCAAACCAGGCACTGTCCGTGGGAAACCCAAACGGTGCGAATTAATATAGCACGGACCCTATTTTCATAACTTTTTGGAGAACGACGAGTTGGAGTTATTATAGCATTTTCTACTCAGCCGCCCCGTCGTTCACCAGAATAAAGTTTAAAACCCTCGCCCCAAAACTCTCTGAGCTGACTTGATTTTGGACACCCATCGCTTTTCCTAACGTGCATAATCTACATACTCTTAATAAGTGGTGGCACAATTGCCTCTCGTTGGGCTACCACCTGACCTTGATCTTAGCACCATAAAGTCATACTAATGCACTGTCATCAGCTCTTGAACTCTCACTATGACTCCCAGTGTTATACTAGGGTGGATATCTGAGAGAATTTTCCTCCTACTGATGATAGCTGTTTTGGCACGGATGATATTCAATTCCCAGATTAGATTTCAAACTTAAGTTAATCGCTTTTTCAATTTTTCTCTGACGCATACATAAGCTATAGAAAAGTTTTTGGGAAGCTTCCTTTACTCAATCTATGTAAAGTCTTCAATCACTCACTGCTTCCTCTAAATTTTTATTTTTTATTTTTATTAATTTCTTATTGTGTCTCATTCTTCTATTCTCGTATTTTGTTAGAATTCTCATATTGCAATAATATCCGTTTGCCAACGCCAACACCTTCAACGTCACCATCGCCAGTAGCCAAATCCATTGCAATCGCCATAGCCATCTCGATCACCATCTCTTTCGCCAGCTTGTCGCCATTGTGCTCATCCAACATTAGTTTTTGGACCAGTGCAAGGAAGCTGAAAATTGAAAGCAAACATTATCCATTTTCAAAGATTATACGCCAAATGGATATGCAAGAGCACTTTACACATTACATTCATTCATCTCGCATTTTCGTTTATCGCTTTACGTTTATGCCGCTTGCCATGCGTCTCGTGCCCACCATAACATAGCTGCACCGCTTCGAAAACTTCCACTATCCATATGTACATATATATGTACGTAGCATAGATCTTTCTTACTTTATAACGGTTGGTAGGCAAACAAACATCTTCGGACGATATAGGAAATTGTGAATTTCGCTCTGCGCTTCCAAGCCATTGCTGCTGCTCCTGTTGCCAATCGAAGTGAATATGCGCTCATATACTTACTCGTACTTACATTTGTACATATGTATGTATACGCACATAGTACCTACACACACAGTCATGCTTACATATAATTCAGTGTGTGTTGTGTCGAAGCAGGAAGTGCAGTCAATAATCGAAATCAGCTTGCAACTCAGCAAACTCATAATGGTCGCCCCATTTTCCTGCTTCCTGTTTTTTAGCTTGCAATCCATATGATTTTCGTTTGGTGTAGATGTAATTTTCTCCACTTTTTTTTGGGTATTTTATGGAAGTACCAGTATTTTCTTTGGCAATAGCTTTAGTTCGTAGGTAAGCGCTACTTTTCTGTTTCTTTTATATTTTTTCTACACTCGGCCACTTTTGTTTGCTTGAATAACAACGTAAATTGCACAAAGTTGCGGATACGATTTAAACTGTGTTGCGAATGGGAAGATTGGTATTTTTTCAGCTATTTTCGTTTGGTAAAATTGAACACTTACATATATACATTGAGTTGTTGGGAGCCTCAGTGGCGCCAGGGGTATACCTATGCATTGTTGAGTGTTTAAGAATACTTTATAGTTAACGGTTATAACATGTATTAAAGACTTTAATTTTTAACTGATTATTTACTGAGTTTTGTTTATCGCTCAAGAAATAATCGTCATTTTTGGGTCTTATTTTCTTCTTGAAAAATAATCGTTGTTTAGGTTTTAACTGAAAAAAAAAATAATTATTTTTAGAGTTTTATGTTTTGTTTATTTAGTAAGTAAAAATTAATAAAAAATATTTTGTTTGCTTACTAAATAAAAGTAGCTTCTAGTGTTTTCCTTACGCAGCGTTAGTGAGCTAAAAACGAGAATAAATATGAACACGCACGAAAACGAATACGAGCACGAATTCAAATGCGAACACGTCTACGAAGGCAAACACAAAACGGAGGACTGTCATTACAATTACAATTACCATTGCTCTTTGTATTACCAATACCATTAGAATAAACATATCATTATCATTACCATTACCATTAGCATTATCATTATGATTACTACATATTACCATTAACATTACCTTTACCATTACCAATATCATTACCTTTATAATTATCATTGTCATTACCATTACCTCTACTATTGTCAGCACCATTACCATTATCATTACCATTTTCATTACCATTACTATTCCCAATACCATAACAGCTAACTTCATCAATAGCATTGCCATTACCACCATTATCTTTATTTTTACTTTTATTTTTGAAAAATTTTGGTCCAAGATTTTGACCAACAATTTATGGTCACGATACAATTGCTAATATTACAGTTTCGTGTTCGAATGGCATACTTCCAAGGCAGTCTTAAATAACCCAATTATCTGGCGTTTCACATCGCGGTTAATCGTGCAGCGAAATAAATTTGAAGACGTTTTTCCCGGTTCGATGGTGAGTCTCTTCTTGAAACTATATAGAATAGCTCATGGCAATTCCAAACTGGCTGACTATCGTTGTTCCACAGAAATCCAATAGACTTATTTCAGACGAAATACCTTAAATGCCTTGTCAAGGAGCGTAATAGTTCTGGTGATTGATTTAACGGAGGTCGTTTTAGGTTGGCCCCTGGAAAACTCAATCCTGGTGTCTCCGAATGAAGCTTTAAGGCAGAGTAATATTGGTAAATCATATCCACTGGGCCAGTCGGAAAACACGAAATCGAATCATGCATACAATTTTTAGTAATAACTCGACTCCAGGTCCACCTGGCGGGTAAAATTGTGAACTGAAACTATCCAGAGACCCCCTCAAATACACACGACGCCCCATTTTCAAATAGTTCCACTTCTCTCCATGAGAATGCTCGTGCTTTCATATATATTTTTTAGCCTGTAACCATCCTTGGAAATTCTGACAGAGTACTTAACATAACAATTTATTTTCTCGTTTACATTTTACTAATTTTTATATCTTTCCAGCAAACAATTTGTTTTGAAGGTTTTGAATCCATGAATTGAAGGATTCAATGTTCGTGAAAACACCTGGTTTACATTTGTCGCCACAACCATTACCCCAGGAAGCCAAACCAATCAACTTATTTCCAGATACCAAGGGACTTCCAGGCAGTGCACCACAAGCAGCGTCCTTTGCCAGACCGCACAACATTGAATCGAACACCTCGCCCACCTGGTACTTATATTTCCCAGAAATACAATCCTTAGTACTAATAATAGTTTCATCTACATCAACTACAGTATTATTTGCATCCCAGCCGGTGAGCACGGCACTGGTACCGGTTGGCCGTGGTTGGCTAGCTAACGTCAAGTAATTAGCCTCGACGGATTCTGTCAGCCTAAGAACGGCTATATCATTATCCCATGTGTTATAGCCGAAGCGAGCACTGAAGGTATAATCCGAAACTTTTAAAAATTTAGCGCCATTATGCACACCCACAGCAAATTTCCAACCATTGTGGAAAGCAAAACAGGAGGCAGCGGTAACAGCGATATTCTTTTTAATTAAAGCACCTGCGCAAACGGGTACACCATTTTCATCGTGAAATGAGATAAGGTATGAGCGGTCGCTAATGTTGGCAGGTGCACCACCTTCAATGCCTGCTGCAGCACTGGCAGCTGTAGCTGTTGTCAACAGCAGTAGGCCATAAACTAACTGATTGGCCATTTCGAGAGTAGAAAAAAATCGACGTTTGAAACCTTATGTGTGATAACTTCAACTATGCGCTGCACGGATTATCGCATTCTTATATGCCGTTACTTACTAGATAATATACCTAATAGTAATAATAATAAATATTTTATAATAAAATCTAAGTGCTTACACTTTTAGTAAGTGTTTGGCCGAGCTTCTCCTCCGATTTGTGGTGGGCGACTTGATGTTGTTACACAAATGGAGGGGCCTACAGTTTTCGCCGCCTACGAACGGCAAATGGATATTATGAGATGCTTTTCAAGTCAGATATTCACTCGTAGGTTTGCCATTACCTGCCGAGGAGCAACCGCTTTTAGTTAAACCTCTTTCTAATTTAGATATTGGCCCGATCGGGGCTCGAGCCCAGGTTTTACGAAGTGGTAGTACGCATGCTAAACCACTCAGCTACGGCGCCCGAGAGATACTATAGCTAGTTTGAACCAATTAAAACCAAGCAATTTAACACTTGAGAAAACAATTAGGATGGAAAATTCTTCGAATCATTGAAATATATGCTTATACTTATTCAGACATAAGCAAGCCTATGCGACGCCGTCTGCTCAGCACCTTCGTTGTAGCGTCGCACAGTGGGACGTCCCCATATAAGCTGCGGCAAAAAGCAGTAACCGTACTTGAAATTCGCCGAAATTTTATATATGCGCTATTCGGATTTAGGAATTAGAAAATGTGGAAAATGGTAAAACTCAATGCGCTACCACGCCCACAGCTCTTGTGGGCGGAGATGGTAAATGTTATCCGATTTTGATGAAATTCAGAGCATATGCTGGTTTTAACGAGAAAAGCATAAATCTGAAAGAATGCCAAAATCGGTTTACATTATCGTCCAGTAGTTCTAGAAAAACAGGAGCAAAAAAAAATCTTTTTTGATGAAATTCGGTGTTCCCTGCTCGTTTAAGCCAAACTTTTCCAACTTAGAAGATAATAAAGAATTTCTTATTACGGCGCCCACCTCCTACACAACTTTTTTGGCTCCAAATACTAAATTTTTTTAATTTTGGAGAAAATGAACAGGCACATTTATTTTAATTGTAAAGAAGTTCCTATTTCAGCATTTTAAAAATAACAAAACGAAAACGTTTACAATACCTGCATACTAAATTATGTGCACGTTATGTATTTGCACTGAAACTTTCAATTTTACCTACATTTTATACAACAAAAGCTGAGCTAAGACAAGCAGGACTCTTGCCATAGAAAACGGATCTCGTTCAGCGAAGCGTCCATTTTTGGCTGCATATTGAATGTGATTAATAGATTGGCAAGTCAAATAATATATACACCTTCTTCAATTCCCATTTTATATTGCATATTATTTATTGGTACATATCAAAGCCTTTCCCTACAGCTTTACAATAAAAATTCAATAAATTTTACACGGAGTGGGTCCATAAAAGGAAGAATAGAAGCTGAACTCGCAGTTTCTCGCAGCTGGAACTATTTGAGATATGACACGAATATTTAATTTTTACTTCTGGTAAGTATAATTTAGCTCCTATCCTAGGTCCTTTTTAAATATACCTTTTTAAATTAAGCACTCGGAAAATTTTAAACTCACATGCAGAATTTCAAGTTAAACTTTTTTATATTTACATTTGAAAAAGATTTATAAAAATTTAAAGCAATGGCTGACCACAAATATATTCAAAAAGTGGAAAAATTAATTCAAATTACTTGCGACAAAATCAAAATTTTTTCTAACAAATTTATTTTTTCACATTGTTCCTACTTTTGTGCAAATATGAATTTAATAAAACATTTTAATATTAATATTTTGCTTTGCATCTGCGTACTTACTTTTTCAGAACTCTTTAATCCGTTTTTACTACTTTCGGCCGCTGTAGTCCCATTGTGCGTCGCATTGTCGTATACACGAAGTATATGAAAGTAATGCGCAGCCAGCGTCGCTCATGCCTGGTCATAATATGCGCAAAATACACGACACAAATATTTGCGCGAATACAAATTAATACAAATAAGATTGTTTTCGATTCCTATTTGTAAAAGTTAGTATTTGTGCATAAGTAAAGCAATTAGATTTAACAAAACAAAAGACTATGTAAACATATCTATTATTTCCGGGACACACTCAGTTTTTTGAGGGTTTGGCCAAACTTCTTCAATACTTTTTGACGACGTTATCAAATAAGTCCACGGACCTAAACTAGAAACTAGCTCATTGTAAATGTTTTCCTACACTTTCTGCCGCCATAATCGAGTGGTTGGAAGTGGTTACTTCTACTCGGTAGGATCGATGTTCGATGCCAGATACCTCCCCAAAAAAAATGTGTGCTAGTATTAGTTGCCCTTCGGTAGGCAAGGAAAAAGCCATGAAAAAGCTGCTCATAAAAACCATTTGCCATTCGGAGGCGACGTTAAACTTGTCATCCCTCTATTTGTCTAATAACATCAAAACGAGTGATGCCATTTTGGTGCTTTAGAGGCTACATTTAGCTAAACTTATTTTAAGTTGCCCAAGAAATTTGCTCTATTTTTTTGGCCCTTTTAAACTAGGCCATGAAATGAGCATGGATCTGATCGTGCTAAGTTTTGATAGAGACTTGAGTGTAATATGATAGGTAAACATTTTATTAGCTTTTAAAACATCTCTTAAAACTTGTATTTCCTCTTTAAAAAATTTCCCCGGGCCACACCAGTTCAGGTCCGGCCCTGTTGCTAATATCTAATTGACCCATTTCAAATCATACGACACTATTTTTTCAAGTGTTCCATAACTTGCTCAGTATAACATAATTTCCTTTTTTTTTTTTAATTTAGCTCTTATCTAGAGCGCTGAGTAACGGTATAAAAACAGGCGAACACTCAAATGTTGCAAAGTTGAAGGTTTCACACTAAGCACTTCTTATATAAATATCTTTGTGATCTTAATCTCAACATGATGACCAACCAGTTCACTTGCACTCTATTGCTGTTGATCGCAACCGCAAGTAGTATCTATGCTAGCGACGACCGGTCATACGTCGTCTTAGTGAAGGGCAAAGATGGAGGCGTCATCTGTGGTGGTGCTTTATACAATAATAGAACCGTTATTACCGCCGCCACGTGTTTGACTTTCTACGACGTCGATCAGTTGGTGGTAGGTATTGTCAGTAGCGGTCAGGACATCAACATCGACAATAATGGACATACGTTCAATATTGCATTCGACCCTGACACACAGGAGAATGACGTGGCCATTTTGAGATTAGCAGAACCCGTAAGTGCCACGTACGTTAAATTGCCTAGCAAGCAGCCGGTTACCGGTTCCACTGGCGTTCTCACCATTTGGAGTGCCAATAAAACGTTGGTAGATATATCTGAAACCATCATAACTGCTGACGATTGTGTTTCTGGCAAATATAACTATGAAGATGGAGATCTTTTTGACTCGATGCTTTGCGGCCTTTCTAAGGATCAAGCTTGTGCTATTGCAGGAAGTCCATTGGTTTCAGAGGGTCAGTTGATTGGTCTGGCTTCCTGGGGTTATGGTTGTGCCAACAAAGCTAATCCAGAAGTTTACACAAACATTTATGAAGAGAAGTCATGGATTACATCCACTGTAGAGAGTTGGTAAAATTCCAATAAAGTAAATGAAAATATACTATTTAGTAGTTTTAATCATAGTGGAAACACATGTATTTAAGTATATAGGTGATGGCCCAAAGGTAGACCACCTTAATTGTGGCATGCGTTTTAAAAGTAGTAAAAAGGGGAGCAAATATGCCAATGTTAGGAAAAAATTATTGGATTATTAAAAAATCGCAAATCATTTAATCTAAACCGAATCGCCTGCTTGTGTCTTCTTAAGGAATAATGAATAACATGGACTTCCGCCAAAAATTTAGCGTTCGTGAGCTGGAATATATTTAAGTCCCTACTAAGAATGGCGCTTTAAAAAAAATACAACTTTTGCAAAGATTTTTTAATTAAGCACTATCTGACAATATCTTGTAACATGGTCAATCATTCTGAATGGCGCAAGGCCTGTCCCAGAGGAATGTAAAGCTGGATATGTGGGACTCAGGAGAAAACGGTTCTTTTTGACGAAGTTTTGAAAAAATTGTCAGAGGACTAAAAAGTCCCACAAAACTACAGTGAAGCAGCGGATTTTACTGGAGATGGCGGAAAATAAAAATCGTCTGCGGATTGAATGGAAGAGTAAACACATAATGTTTGATAAAAACAATAGACGTTTTCGCCGATTAGAGAAAAGTTTAACCCTTAATAAGAAAAGTTAATTTGACTAGATGAAGAAGAATACTGTTGGGGTTTAACTACTATAGTCTGAGCATAGTTGGTTTCAGGCCCTAAAACTGCTGTTGCCGCCAGTTAAAAAACGTTGAAATGTGGGCGATTCCACCAACCCCCGCAAAAACACGCCAAGTACCAAATACCGTTAGTGAACCTCTCCAAGATCGCTAGCCAGTGGTAATCGATCAAGTGACACATAATTCGTACAAACATTTTTAAAGGAAGGAATTAAGCACTCTTATGGCGGATTCGTTGTTCTAGTTCTGAACTTTCCTTCTCTGTATAACTCAGTGAGAGGGGAGACCAGTATGTCTGCCTGTATGTATTTATATAAAAAAAATAAATATTTATTGGTTAAAAAAAGGTGGGTAGGCACTGTGGCCAATGGTAAAGTTCGTTTACCACCTATGCGCGGTTCCGTACGGTCAATATCCCATGTCACAATCTAACCGTAACGTGCGTATAATAATAAATGGCACTTATTTCTTCTTTTCAATTGTATACAGTAATTTTGTTTTATTAAAATTCAGCCGAATTCATCGGTTTAGTTCAGAACTTTTCTTCCATGTGGTTCAAAACTAGAAAGATGAATCCGCCTTTATCGGGAAAACTACAACTGTGGATAATATTTTGTTCGTATTTTATTTTCATTAGGGTGGTCCTTAAAATCAAATGAACGATTTTTTTCAATATCACCACCTCAATCGGTGATACCACGGTCACAGAAATCACATATAAATTTTGATCCCGAT